CTGTTTCAAAGAAAGTCGAGAACAATGTCGACTAGCAACGACAAAATCATATTTCCCAGGCGACCTCCAGAGTCAATAGGTAGCCACTCAGCTAGCTCTCTATCACTGACAGTAGATATCGTTCATGCATATCTCTTCTACAATGGAAAGAATGTGCTCAGGTATCCCAGAGCATTTCGAAATTTTCCACACTGTCTGATGATGCAGTAAATTAAATACTGCCTTAAAGTCGAGGAAACATGAAAACCAAGGCATCTGCAAAGTTTAATTTGAGTTGCATGCCACGTGCATACCAAATGTTTAACTGCGTTCAAATAGTTAAATCAACAGTTATGTGTTCGAAAGAAAAACATCACGTCAGGACAAGACACGTTCAAAAATCAGCGGTGGTAGTAAACTTCTCCTCTGAGTGATCGGCGACGGCCTTCCTGTTGACATCCAGTTCACATTTGTTCACTGGTTGATATTCATCCAGTACAACGCAATTTATGAAGTCGAACCGATTTTCTGATTTAAACTTCTATAAAGAGGAAAAAAACGTTAACTGCCATTCTGAATATTACACACTTTATGAAGAATCGATAACCTAAAGAATTTCAGGTCAAAATAAAACAGGGCAAATTCGTACCTTTCTCAATCAGCAGCATTTCTTGAATGTAATGAATGGCTATGAACTGTTGTCAAAGTTTTGACGTCAACAAAAGCAATGTATAAACAGAACATAATGGAGCTCAGCGATTTACAAGGAAACAAACGGGCCCATTAATTTTTTGAAGGCAATCTGGAGTCAAATAGCCGATTAAATCGAATTAGATCTGAGAAGCCGCCAAGGGGTTCACTGCAAGCAAATAAATAGAACCGAGTCACGGTCCGGTGCGGTCGTACAGAAACTAAGGAAAATTACAATCACGTTACTATCCTCTCCCAGCGTCTACGTCGCGAGGATTTCATGTATGATAAGAGTGTATTGGGTACATTTTGGCAACTGCATATCAAAAACTTTAAAACTACCAGTTAGCGAACACCAGAAACTATGGAATAGCAGCAAAAAATATGGACAGCTGTCGACTGATCACAACTTCGTTGTTTGCAAACTCTTCCTTCAAAATTCATGATAACATCAAGATCGGAAGATCGAAATTTCCCATAACTAATCGTTTAAATTTACGTGTACATATTGTGCTCCCTGCAGTCAGATATCAGATGGGTCAAGACGAACTACAGCCGCAAGGCTGGCACACCAGACAACCTTGCAGCATGTCTCGTATGCTTTAGCATTACCACATCAATGCATCACGCTGATTCAAATATTCGCAGATCAACGATCTGCTAGGTGCCATTTGGCAAGTTGCATCGACGCGCAATGGGGAAAGTTCCTTGCTCAAGAAAATTAACAGATAATAAAAGAAATTTACGTCTACGCGCAGGGTTTGAACCAGGCACCTGTAAACTGCAAAGCAAAGTACTAAGCCATTGTCTCTGTTCCACTGAGTAAGCCTTAGTCAAATACCCGGACAGACCCAAACATCGAGGTGGAATGGTAGCTGAGTTGTTTAAAACGCATACAATCAATTCTGCCTCGTCTTGTCGTGGGCTAAGGAGGCAGCTGTCACTAATGGCAGCAAGAAAAGTATACAAGGAAGAAGAATTAGTAACATAACACGACGTGATTTTGTTTATTATGCATTTCTCACTTCGGTTTATGCAGCTTTTGCATAATAATTTCTACCGCAAAGTAATCGACACTGTTGTTACTCAGAAATGTTAAATCTGAATTTTTATTTCTGCTAAGGCAACAACTCTGAGAAAGTACAAAAAACTGCCCTACCCCTCTTTAAATACTGTGGCACTAGTTCGAGGGTTCGAAACGGTGCTAACAAAGAGAAGCAGCAAGCGACGGTATCTGCTTTGCACCGGACGCCTCTTATCCATTTCAGACATTATAAATTGTGAACACAAAAAAAACCGCACAAAAAGCATCATTTAAATAGGATTAGGATAGATCTTTTGGTACTGCAGTTTAACGAGTATGATAACTATAATAAGCAACAGTGTGACTTGATTCTTTAAAGATCACCTTCGGAATTTCAAGCTTCTCGAGTAAGCAATCAGCAACATATTCTACGAATTGCCGCATAGTCTCCGGATTCAGTTTGATGAGGGTGACGGGAACCGATTCAGTAAGCAACTGTACTTCTATGTCTGCTGCTTCGGCAACCATCTGCTCTACGATGGTCTGGTTGGGTCGGTTGGCAAAGTACGAGTAAAGGTGGCACGCAAAATCAGCATGACGACGCTGAAAGGCACCATAATTAAATGACAGTCAAATAATGCGAAACTTTTAGACAATCACTTGATCAAGAAAAATTTTTTCCACCGCAGCCACGAATCCCGGCATAATATTTTGCTTCTTAAGCGAGAGAATGGCCGCGAAACACCCGGCGAAAAACACATTCTCGAATGGTGCTAGGGCGACCAGACGCTGGGCGTAGCTGTACTTTTCGTTCGCTATCCATTTGTCGACCCATTGTTGGCGCATTTGAATGAACGGCATTTGTTCTACCTCTTTAAACAATTTCGTCACTTCATCTCCCCTTGTCGGATAGAAAACGTTAAATAGCAGCGAATAGATTTCATAGTGCACGTTTTCCAGAAATATCTGAAAACCAAAGTAGCATCTTGCCTCGGTGGACTGAATCTTCTCCGAGAAATGCTTTATCTAAATTTCATGACATTTATGGTAGTTTATTATACAACTGGATACTATCACAAACACAAATTAGTATTATACATACTATACCGTTTCAGGCCGTCATTCAACAACGACTGACATCTTCACCTTAGTCCGTGAAAGTGGTCAAAATATTTGCATCACCATCGGAAAAGAGTATATGTAGAAGTCATCCAAATTCACAGACTCGCAGAACCAATATGATTGTGGGCCCTTTATTAGAACTGTAGTTAAACTGTTAACTCATAGTGAGGGCCTCAAACGAAGTGAATGTTAATATTGCAAAAACGATTATTACCCGGATATGTGACGTTTCACCGAACTATGTACACAGACACGTTACCTAGCTGTTCTTCACGATATATACGTAAACATGAACAGATCCGTCCATTAAAAATCAAAGATTAAGATTCACGCAACAGCGATGTGTGCGGGGAATACATTATTGCTAATAGTTCGAGCGTGTTAAGTGTGATAACTCGTCATGAACCCCTGGATGGCGGAAACAACAGTAACATGATACCTTCTAGGAAACGTACTATGGCAACGGATCGGACCAGAACGACAACAGTAATTTATCTACTTCAACTAAAAACAAAAAAGTTTTAGCAAAATAATGAACAAAAATCGACAAATGGCAGTGCAGATGAAAAGGATCGGGATAGGACTGCAATAACCCCAGAAAACAAAAATTAACTGCATCGCATCCATTTTGAGCAAGGTAAGCTTGCAAAATCCTGGGTAACGCTCAGAGCTTGGAAATGAATTGTCTAATGGTAGAAGTTATGGCACAGGCGATGCCGGAAATATATTCTGGTGAGAGGACGGTCCAGGAGCAGCGTTGAAAACTGCTCCTACAAGGGATGATCCGCACTGCCTAGGATGCTGATTTACTCAGTTCTTCAGAAACACCATTTGCAAATTGGCATGTCAGTGATCGAACTAAAATACAACTGACCGCATGGCATGTACAATAGTCCATTTCAATCCCAAAAAAGTATAAATCAATTCAAAATCATTTCATCATGGCGTTCGACCAAATGAAGATAGACCGATGCTACGGAAATGATAAAAAAAACTTAATCAGCGAAAAACGAATCTACCTATCTTCAAAAGTTCCTTTTCAATACACTGCAACGAGAAGTATATTATCAGCAATAGCTTCAAGCAGAACCATGTTTTCTCCGACGTCCAGGTTTTTGCAAGCCACTAACGCGGCTGTTAAGCAATAGCATTATAAACCGTGAACAACGTTGATGATGGGTTCTGTACTGCACACATAAACGTCAAAATGCAAGCAGAAAATGCATATCGCGCCAAAAGCCACTGCTTTGTTGAAAAGGTAGGTAATACAGATACAAACACAAATATACAAATACACAAATACAAAAGAAACGAGCATTCTTCTGTCAGTTTATCAATAGCTCGCGTCACTCACCAGACTTTCGTTGAAAGTGCCACTTGCACAAATGAGGCAAGCAAGTATCTTGGACAGGAATGTTTTCTCGTCTGCATTTAGCGCGGCAAAATCCAATGCGTCTTTGCTGAAGTCGATCTAAAAACGCCATAGAATTTCACCTACGAAAATCTGTTCGTACGTCTTCTGCGGTCCAAAACGAAGATTCCAGACGCTTATAATGTTGCCAAATTAGTGGATACTGTAAAGGAAGGATTTCGAATCTCCTCGGATTTGGAATCAACAGCATCTCCTTACAGGATTCGTCATTTGCTTTCTAAACGACATTTTATTCTAACTAAGATCGAGAGAATGAGAACGTTCAGCATACGATCTCCATGTGAAATATCGCACAGCAAAGAGCGAAGATCGTCGAACTAGAGCGAAAACGGAGCCACAGTACTATTCGGAAACAGCACAACCAACAAGAAAGCGAAGAATGAGAAAATGGCGCGAAAGTTGATGCAGTTCTTAAACAATGATTGATTTCAAGAAAATAACCTGCTGATCTACAGTAAAGCAATTTGTGACAGTAATGAGTTAATCAATTATGTTTCGTTATACACATTTCATCTTTATCCGTGAACGGTGACGCCTTATGCATGTACTAACGGTTTTTATATTAAAATAATTAAACCACAAATACACTTTTTTCTCAAAATACTATTAACATATTTCAAAAACAGTGCTAATCCAAATCAGCACTTCTAAGAAATTGTCTAAATAATGCTGATCCTGGTTATTACGAAAATTTCGTTCGAGAGGGAAGACACAGTTTATATTATTTAGCTAGATGTCTTACTGACCTTTACCATGCAAATAAAACTATAGAATCGAGTGGTCTCGATTACCGGAGAGCTTATGTTTCGAACACACCTGCGAAAGCCGGCCTCTTGAATAACGCACGAACGTCAAAAGTTATGCAGCATTCATCAGACATGGTCAATCTACTAGTGGGGCAGAGAGGGAAAACCATAAATGAAGTAAACCAATCGACGTATCTCGGTCTAATCATCTCGAATGATGATGTAATCTAGCCAGAAGTAAACTGGAGGATTGCAGCCTACACCTGTGCTTTGATAAATTCTCTAATATTTGGGCAGAGAAACGATCAGCCCATTCCATTTGTACCGTACCTCAGTCTGTCATTGTTATTTTACGATATGGACATAGTTGTCTTAGCGATGACGGCTGAATCGAACTATTGACTTCAACGAATAATAAGAATTAAATGATATGACTTTGTCATCTTTAAAGCATAGACGACCTTAACAGATGTGAAGACAAACAAATAAAGCTAGTTCAGTTGGACAAAATGGTAGAATAGAAATCGTTTACTCCAGCCGTCGATTATTTGTTTGGGATGAATATAAGATGCGAAGTCAATACGAATAACTCAGTTTATATATCGCGTTAGTGCATTCATTTTCTAGCTTTTGCTGAAGGTAACTACGCCGTATGATCTATTATTCTGCACATGGTCTACAACCACGAAATGATAGTTTATTGAGGATCTGACTATGGATTGTTCCGTGGTCACGCACTCAAAACCTGTAAATTGTTGGGTATAAGTGAAATGTATATTTAGTTTATCACAAACAGCGGGCTTCTAGGCGCTGCTCTTCGTTTTTCATGAAACTTCTTTTAAACAAGACTAGAAATTCGTTTAACTAACTCGTGGAGCTGCAGTGATTTGAGAATATGTAGAATCTCAATAATGATTTGGGGAAGAATTACGTTGACTTCCATGCATTCTAATATTCTTTTGCCCATTTTGCAACTTTCCCGCAGAGGAGAGTAATGCGCAAAAGTCGGTGCTGATATCGTCGAATCAGAAGTAGAGGCATACCAATCGGTCAATAAACGTCAAGCCATCGTTAACGTTCCATATGAATAGCGGAGTTGCTGCTACTGTCCTTTCGGCGTTTCTAAATCGAAGTATGCATGCAGTAAGTAATCCATTTTCTTATGCATCTTTTAATTGTTTGATTATACTTCTCATGCTTACGGCTGTGTTTTATTTCTTGGTTGGTCTCGCATTGTTTCACACTGGATTTCCTTTGTTTGTTCTTCTTTGATCTGGCCGCTATTTTGTTTGTTTCTATTTCGGGTCCATAAGTATCAGGTTCGATTCCGCCAGAGTCCATCGTTGTCCGTAAATTGCAGTTTTGCCTTTTCTCTCTCTTTCATTCTTCTTTATGATCGGACTGCAATCTTCGTCACTACCTTGTTACTACACTGCTTGTCGTATGTCGGCCTTGCTCTTGTTTCTAGTGGCCGCCATCTTGTTTAGCATGTTTTTTTCTTCACGCAGGTGATTGTTTGTTACCCGTACATTGTGTTGTTTGCCTTTATTCTGTTTTAACACAAAAAATTTTTTTTTAAAAAGACGAAGAAACGCAAGGAAGTTACACATCGTGATTAGCAATACTCACTCTAACGTGAACAGTTTTGAATAGAAGATGGCCTCCTCACAGCGTAACAATTTCTTTTCCTTAATAACAGTATGTTTGTTTGTTTATTGTTTGTCCTGAAGAAGCAGCCAGGCATTCTCTCTCAGTACGTCTAGTAGAGTTTCAACGCAAACAGACTTCACCTTCTTTAGTTTCGGTGCTTCCGCATGACGAGTGATAGTGCGAACCATGAAATGATATATCGTGCGTTCCGTCTCAGTGCGGATAAACCTACAATCAGTAGGGGTAGAGTGGTTCTTACACTTCCGAGGCATTGTCCTTTTGTCTCAAGGCGTTTCCAGAAACGAATTCTTTTTCGGTTCTCCGTTGTGTTCCTTCTTGCACAAGTCGATTCCTATCGTAATAATTTCTTCAGAGTACCGCAACAAACAATCACTTTTCGGCAGAACAAAGAGCAACTAACAGTAACAGTGTTGATGTCATTTAAGCAGCGGTTGTATAGGAAATTGTCACTCTTTGAACCCACCCCAGAATTCGGAGGTTGTTTTATATTCATTATTTGCTTACGGATAGTGGCTAGCGTGATCATGCTTGGCCATGACCTTGTTTAACCCAGCTAAGAGACGCGATCATTCGGTCCCATCTGTTGCAAGTGCTTGAATGCCTTGAAACCGTGGCCAGCTTAAATGGCCCCCTAGGCGACTAAAAGCAAGGTAGCGGTGCAATACTGTGATGAGACTACCATCCATTATACACTACCGCAGTGTTGGTGCTAAGTAAGAAGTACATTTTTTTTCTTTATACTGTAAATTTTTGCCGTTTCAATGCGGTATCATTATTTTTATTGTCATTTATGTAGCGGCTTTATTGGAGTTGTTACATATTGAAAGCACAGCTAAACTGCGAGGTAGAATATCCGCGGTAGCGGCGGTTACAGTTTAAAGTTAAACTGCGTTCATGTGGTTCTAAATTGGCGCCAAATTCAAACCACATGCAGACTTGCAGTGCGTTACATCATGCTGCTCATCTGAATATTAGAACTAGGGGGCAACGATTAACGAAGAAACGCGGGCACCTCAATTATTCGAATCAGTCCGTATTCGGCGACGAATCGTCGAGACGTAGGAGGTTGTGTTGCGGTAGCGCATGATGTTTTACCACCCGTTGATAGGGCCGACCGTGGCTTAGAGAATTTCGTAAAGATGAGTCAGCAGCTTGGCACACTGATAAATCTGAACATTATGTTAAAATAGAAACTTTTTAAAACAACAAAAATTTTTGATTAGGTACATGAATTCGTCGCCATTATATTTTGATTTCATTTGGTTTCAGACCGTATGACAGTAGAGGCTGAAGGTGGATGGCACCTGCACAATTGGTGACTTTGAAAGCTTCTATGTGGCACTGCATTAGCATGAATATATTTTATCTTAATTTCTATTTGGCTCCTAATGGACAATGAACTTCAACCGTAGAAAATCATCTCATTAATGCCAGCCTAAGGGGGAGCACTCACATCAGCCGTACAAAACAATTTTGGACTATTTATACATAAAGCAAACAAATTAGTTGACGGGATGACTGAGCACTACCTATATATTCGCCCTATCGACGTCTGGAGTTCCTCTTTGGCGTTCGCAGCAGATACTGGCTCTGTGGCAGTGATAGGCAGCTGACGGAGATTTGTCGTAATATTAGTCTGAGGTATTCCGTTGTCGAATCGAATAGCTGTGTAGTGTATTGATAATTTACAAGTAGTTTACACCATTCGTAGGCATATATAGTAAATATTAACGTCGTTATCATGGGTTTAGTATCAAACAGCCGATTGTTTTCGATACTACCGATAAGAATAACCCTCAAGGCGTAGGTAGCCATGTTTACAGCATAGCTACCTTAGGGAACGAGGTAGAGGCAGGTCTGCTATTAGGCAGAAACTATTGATTTTACAGCGCAGTAGCCGGAGGCTTATAGCAAGTGTTGAAAGCTGCGAACACGACGAACGTCACAAACCAGGGAAGTTCTGATTATACACATTGCCAAGGTAACGATTACACAAACATATACTCGCTGAACGCCTTGCAAATAACCTTGTTCTAAGAGTTAATTTATTTCAGTATAAACTCGATTAACAAACCGAATTGTCAGCCATCAGTTGGATGAAGGCGAATCCCAAAAGATGAGAGACGCTCGTATCAGATGATACAGACGTAAAATGAAGAAATTCCATTGTCTCAGTGATAAACAAACATGCCAGGGCTTCCACAGTCCTTCGGTAAACGAACCTTTAGAATTTTCTGGGCTTAAGTACCTTCTCGAAACGTTTTGCTTACTATTCCTTTATAATTGATTGAGTGATACTCCATAGAGAGCACTAATGGTTTGTTCGTCTCCTTAGGTCGAATCCCATACGAAGTTCGACTGAGGTACAATTCTCTTCTTAAAACTCAGTTTGTTCTAATGGCATCGCTCAATTCATTTCTGTGATTTTCGTCATCTTATCAACTGGCTTCAATAGGTGTTGACGGCTCTTTCTCATTACCCTATCATCTTTCTAAACTTTCACCTTTGAGGTCTTCCCATCAATATTTTATTTGGCTTATGAGCTTTCTCTTTGGTCAACGAGTTTCATCTCCCTAAAATGGAATGGCGGCATTAGTCGCGATTCTCATTTTCTTGGTAATTTCTTCTAGCCGCTAAAAGTATCCTCTTAAACACTATCTGTATGAGATGGAAAATGTTTTTCGCCACGCGCAACAGTCAAACTGTGATTTTCAGTCATACCGTTATCATATGTTGGAAAGTTGTCATAAGTGGAATGAGATTCGACTTATGGATCAAAAGATGAATATTGCTTGTTCCAGATGCTTCGAGGCTACACAGCTCAAGCTGTGTCTGGAGATATCAGCTGTTACAACGTGTCGTGTCCCCTAAGGATTCGAAATAAAAAACATTTAATGAAAATCTCCATTTTTGTACACAACATGAGTCTAACTACATGAGGCTTCTCGATTTACATTTTCGTTTCATATTCTTACAGAAGAATCAGTGTCTAATAACAGTTTCTTGCTGACAGCGCGAGCGTTGCCAGTTAGGTAGATGTTGTGCACTGACGACTGAACTGTGAGGTCTGCGCCGGAACCGATCGACGTGTTGTCCTCGTTGCTTGTGCCAATGGCGCTTTGTTCTTCAGCTTCAGACTTATCACTAGAAAAGCGCTACATATGCAACATTTAACAGTTGACTATCAACGCAGTTTCAAATGATACGCTTAATTAAAAGTGATCAAGTTATTCATTCTGGATGTAACTGCAAATGAGGAGAAATGCTCCTCTCACAATAAACAGAGTTCGCCTTGACCTCCGTGAAAACCGACTAAAACGGCTTACGGCGTAAACCGTACAAACGGTAGTGAAGTCGCAGAAAAATTTCCCTCAAAATTCGAACTTTGTCACTTAAAATACGTATACTAGAGCTGTACGCTTTCGCCATGGTAACGTTTCGTATCGGCTGGCTCAAGACCCGTGAGCAGTCCAATATATTTCGGTTGAACTATGCGTGTAACATCTTGTTCAACTGTCGGTCCATTTCGACAGAACCGCTAGCAGTGGAAGTGATGCTCTAACTGATTGCGTTCAGCAACGTCTGCGTGGTCATCGTCCAAAAACCTGACTTCGAAAATATTTCATACGGCAGTACTTTAATGAAAGATTTTGGTTACTGCTGACGGCACAGTGATTCAAAACCAAACAAACAGATAGCTGTCGCTATCACCTATATTACCCTGAACTGATATTTCGTTCATGCGTTGATAATCATAGTGAAAACTGGACAGTGTATAAAAAGACGGTTTATTCGTACACGACGTAAGCAAATTTATCAACTGGGTGAGAGTGACCAGTACCGACGTTTCGGCTCGTGTCTCAGCGGTCTTCGTCAAGGTGGACAGTGGACAGGATTGATTAACGCAGTTGCTGTAGGAATAAACCTTGGTTTGGTGTATTTTTTAAAATTTTCTCCTCCTGAAGAAGGTCCGTGAGATCCGAGCCGAAATCGTTGGGTGTCAAATATAGGTGGACTTTTGTAGGATGAGTTACTCTTTACTCAATCCAAATATGTGACAGGTTTCCGAAAGCACTCGAGGCTAGGGCGATCTTTCTGCTTAACTCTCGTTGGCTTCGAGTCCCCGCTAAAGTTATAAAAGAATTTAGTTATGCCAGTGTTCATCCATTGTCTCTCTACTTCGTTCCCGTAATTTTTGCCTTTCTTCGAAAGCGAGATTTTAGGCAGATCCAAACTGCAGTCGGGCTATGTGGTTGTTTCAGCCACATATTTTGGCAGGAATTCGGGAGTGCTCCAATCAGCCGCCTCGTCAGTGCGTGTCTCCGTCACTGTTCCTCTGCATTATCGAACTTAAAGCATCCTATTGATCACCTGTCGGAACGTTAGACCTCACGCATCATCCTCATCCCTTCCAAATTTGTCACCATATTCTCCTGAAAGGGTCCTTTGTCCGAGCTTCATTTGTGTTTATTTCAACATCCTGCGGAATCATGAGCTTCCTTTTTTAGCAGCCTTGACACGGATATTCAAATGATCGCTTCTGTTGGGTAACATATTTCGTCTGTCCCTCGCTGCATGCATATCATATGAGCTTTATGAATGCCAGATTGTAGCGCCCGTCGATTTACATGTCAACGAAACAAAGATTCTTCTGCATCTCTGATTCTTCTGCGACGGTAACACCTCATCGAGGTAAAAAATTGATGTCACAAACACTAGAATGCGGAGGCTGGACTCCCTTTGGAAAACGCGAAACGGTCGTAAAGGCTCGAACTGATACCACGTACCTTTTCGTTTCGTTGGGAATAACCGAAGTACCAAGCGAAGTCCGTTTGTACTGGGCCTGTTTATTACTGGTTTTCTTGCAGCCTTTTCTTTTCATAATGTGAGGGTTGTCCAAGTACACGTTTGTCAGCTTCAACATTCGCAGCTGAGTATAGACCCTTTTAAGTTCCGCCTAAAAGTTTACCGTCTGACGTCATTAACGGCAGAAAGGAGCCTGTTGTTACTCTGATGTCGTCTGGATTCATTTCCGCTATAGGCACTTCGGCAAAGTCTACCGTTCCGTTCACCAGATTGTCCCTAAGCTTCGCCAGAGACGGATGAGCTTTGCTCGGGCAAAAACTGAATGAACTCGATCTTTTGTTTTGTTCCACACTTGCATGATAAAGCTATAAATGACAAGCAAATGAAATGAATACGCGACACGGATGGAGTAGTATCAGCAGAGCAGCATGCGCAGGAGTCATCGTCGTTTCACGCTTAGCGTCGAGGCATACATATAGATGTACTTTACTTCAAAAGTGTAAAGTAATTTAAATTTAAATTTAAATTTATCGATTTCTGCTTTACCTGCATGCTTTCTGCTGGCACAAACTGACAGTCTCTTACTTGAAAAATGGTTTATTACCTTTGAGAATATTATTACAGCAACGGTGACGGTTACCGTTAAGTGCACCTGAATGAAACTGAGCAACATCAAAGTGTTCGGACTGGAACTGAGCCAAGTGTGGAACCTGTGAAAGAGATTCGTTCACGTCGACTCCAACCGAACACCGTGCTACTACCTTGCTGCCCTCGTCATCGAAGACACGACTAGTTCTAAAACAACACTCATCGTAAACTGATACCTTTCTGGCCAGAATGTGTTTCGCGTCTTATAGCCAATATATGATCCGTACAGTAGGAACGAGATCTCAACTACGGTAAAGGTAGAGCTACGGTAGTTGCGGCATGGCAGTTCCGTTTACTTGCTATCCACACAAACTGCCATTTGAACAGCGAGCAAACCCGATACGGCGTACCGTCGCTGGAGTAGCCGACCGTCGTCAGCAGGCTGGTCGTCGAGCCGAATGGACGCTCTAACGAATTCGCCTCGACTGAAGTCATTGTCCATGCCGAAAGGCCTGACAACGTGAAAGCTATCATGTAACATAGGTACTTGAGCTGGTCTTTCTCGCGCACCACCACGTGGTGCGCTCTTCTTGCTCGCAATTCACTCAGGTTCCTGGTCGAACCAGACGAGGTTATGGCCGACGTTGCGAAACCGTAGTAACTGCGTTACCTGTAGATTTTCAGCACGATGCATCCGTAGAATACGGTAAAGCCGAGATGACGAAACCACACAATCAAACAGCACGTGACGTTTTGAGGTGTGAAAAATTCCGCAATGATCTGAAACAAGTGTATCGTCAAGTTTGCCGGCCATTTCGCTCTCGACTGTATCACAGCCAAGTATGAAAAAATACCAGCCCCTGATCGAAGGCATTCTGCTGTACGTATTTCAGCAAACAATGAGGCAAAACGATATGAAAAACTACAGAACGACCGATCAGTTTATTGCCAGCCATCTAGCTGATCTTCAAAAATGAACTGAAGAACACAGGCTTAGGCAACAGGTGGACTGTAAACAAGCAAACGAACAAACGGGCCTTAAAAGTGGACTTGCACGGCATAGTCGCACCGTCCCCTTGCTTGTAGTAGCCAAACGGGTCGTTTAACCAGGGCACGATTCCATGGTATTTTGGCATCCTTAGTGTATGGGCGCAAAACGGCACCTCAAGAGTCATACGTACTTAAGGACAGATCTACATCCGTTGGAATTCGACCAGGTTATTGTTCGCCAGCAAATTGGTACCGTTTTGCGTCCATGCACTGCAAATGCAAAAATGCCATGGAGCTCCGACTAGTTTAAACGGTTTCCTAGATTATTAGAAGTAAGGTGACCGCACGGTTATGCTGTGTAAATCCAGACTAGTAGAGAGTATTTTCGGAATGTCATTTTTCAATACACGGCTAGTTCATAAATTTTCTCATTTTTTATCAATGAAATGGCCCTGTGTTTGACCCAGGACACTCCTTTATTTTATTGCGACGTTTAGGCTTCCTGCACAGAAACCATGGAAACATTTTAGAACAGAGTGGAAAAGAGAGTAGTAATGCCCTTTAAGAAGAGACTAATATTTTTGCCGGCCGCATTAAAAGTTGAGGTTTGCGATAAACCGATAATACAGGGGTTTATTTCCGTTGGATTTAGCACGATCGGTCATCTTAAGGTGGCACAGCAACTAGTTCATTGAAGAAACAAATATCAGCTTGGCTTCTGCCTGGGACTCGTAGATTTCAATAAGGTTTTCGATTCAGTCTGAAGCAAACCTGCAGTATTAATCGCTTTGAGGAGGCAGGGAGTCCACGAAAAATAAAGCGATGTCATTGTCATGCAAAAGGTTTCACGAAGCTAAAAACAGACTGAAAATAGAAAAACGTGTTTGACAGAGAGATGCCATATCACCGAGGTTATTCACAGCACCCGTAGCAGTAGTCGACAAGACAATGCATTGAAAAATCAAGTGCTGAAGATGAACGATCTACGCTTAACCCACGCACGGTTTGCCGACGACATGTTGATCCTCACGATGTCTGCAGAGATCAGAGGTTGAGTCAGAACTCCTGAAAGGAATCTAAAAACTGAAAGACGCCATGATCAAAGAAAAACTAACAAGGAACCTGAAGAAGATTAAAACGTTCAACAAATACGTGGCCCCGTTGCCTATTGACTTCAATGGACTAATCTTGAGGATGTGAAAAATTGCCTTCTCTGGGATCTCTGTAACAGAGAACCAACTTTGCAAAGTCAAAAAACGAGTATAAATGGCATGGAGCACTTCAAAATCTTTTTTCCTGGAAATTGCCATTGTGCTTGAAACAGAAAGTTTTCACTCAATTTGTACTCCTAGTGCTGACGTATAAATTCGAAACGTAAACCCCAAGCTTTTCTCAAACTGTAGAGTACACAACACAGCATCGAAACGTGTATACTGGACATTAAAGGAAGAAATAGGAAAGCAAACGAATGGGCAAGAGAAACAACAGTTTTCTGCCATGCTATGAAAGAATACACAGCGATTGAAATGGAGGTGAGCAAGGCACCTCGCAACAAGAACCGGGCATCGATATTATACTGAGATCCAAAAGACGGCCTCCCTAAATGGCCCATGAGACGACCTCGTGATCGACTGCAGGATACGTCGAAAATATGTGAATGAGAAGCGCAGAACACAGAATTTTGTGGTCAAGTCTTTGAGAGACCTTCGTCCAGCAGTGGAGCGAAAAATTGGATGCCGATGCGGAAGCAGCTGCAATTATTGGCAAGCTCAGTTCTAATGGCCGCCGGGATCCGCTGCTGCTGAGAAAGGGCCGCTGGTGGTACACGGGAAACTGCTACAGTAAGCCTCGCTAATCGCTTGACTCGACCAACATTTGCGTGGTTCGCTCCAAGCTTCAGCTCTTAGCGGATCGCCTCAAGAGATGTTGAATGATCCAGATTTGTCGCTGCTTACAACAACCAAATACATTCCAACTTATAATAAACAGCGTACTCAAGTATGCAAATATGTTTATGTAATTTACTCTGACTCACTGAAAACATATCTGAAGCGAAGCTGCATTTTGCTCATCATTCACCGCCTAGGTTTGCAAAAAACTACTTAGTTCAACTCGAATTCTGTCAGTAGGCAGGTACGATAAAACATCAGCGGGTGAGAGTAAATGCTCATAGACCGTCACTAGACATTCCATATTCAAAGTGTGCGAGTAAACGTACCTCAAATATCATAACTTACTATTGAATACATCAGGATGGCTCCTACCAAACACAATTCCATTAATGCCCAGTTGCGGGAACATGAGTCCTGAAACACATCAAGTTAAAGACGCAACACCTGAGCGATAGAGACGGCACGTACATGAAGTTTCCTATGCTTCATTATTAAAAGAATGAGAGCAGACGAGAAAAGGACACTGATGACGTTCACAGCCAGCAGGGTCTTTTGCAGGGTACTGTCGGCGCCGTACCATGAAGTGGTAGCTCGACAAAGGAACCAAGGATCGCCGTGATCCTTGGCCAGTGTTTCCAGCTGCGACGCGTTGAAGCAGTAGTTAGGCAAAGTGTTTCGACAGCAGCATTGATAAGATCCGAGTTGGAAGCCTCCTTTCGGAATGAATAAACACTAAAAGTGTGCGGTGATTAACGTTCAGTGAATACGTGTTCACACGATACTCAAATACTTTACGATCACCTTCAAGACATTAGATTATGACACAAAATGAACATATATTTATTAATGAACGTTTTGAACATATCAAATGATTTTGCACCTCATTTATGTCTGCATCCAATCCTAGCATCCTTCGTCCTGTAACTGTAGCTTGTTCACTGTTGTGGCCAACTTGTAAATAGTCAAAAATCATCTTCATAAGAAACTCAATGGACCTCTATGTAGACGATGAAGTATAATGGTTAGGATAAAAACCACAAACTTTTTTATTTGACTATTGGAAGTTTACAGTAATGTTTATTGACACCTGATCTTTTTTCCTGATGTGATGCCACCGTTGCTATTCAATGAAATTTCGCTTTAGGGGGAGGGTGGCAGGGGCTCGATGGCAATATACAAGGATAAGGGATCGCTTGTTTGTTGAGTTCTTGTTATATAAGTGGTGGAGCAGAAGGTCTGTGTCTGGGACCTCTGCCGCTTCTCAGTTGTCGGCTATAACTTGAACAATGCACTGGAAATGAAACGTATAATCTCGATCCCATTTTATCCCCCCATGTTTCGAAATCTGTCAAAAGATGTCTGATTCACTTGACTGAAAACGAAGTTCTTCGCCTATTGCAAAACTGGATCGAAAATGAGGAGGCTTCTGCTCACCAGCAAGAGCTCCTAAGGTAGTTGATCACATGATCTATAATAATCTTGACCTAATTATGTAATTAAGGCCTACAGAGCATTAACATCGCCATTAAAGAACTGACCTCAATTTTCAACGATTATATTGTTTCGCATGCCACAGCAAAAGCACATTGCTTCGGCGATGTAAACGCTTTGCTAACTTACGGCAACACCTGGGTAGGGCTTGCGATAAACAAGTCCATTCGTATTTTGGCGAGCAAAACCAAGGACGAGATTAATATCCTGCGTGCTTCAACCCAAGATGAAATCTGGGGTGCAACCAGTAATCTGATACGTACCAGCTTCTGAACGGTTGCCACCCTGGTTGTTGCTTTCTTCGGTTATGGC